TTATGGTCTAGGGTTTGGGGTTTAGGTAGGGTTCAGGCTAAGGGCACTTATGCAACGCCGTTTGTACAAGTCATTACCAGCACTCGGGTCGAGCCGCTCGTTTCAGGGGCGTGACTTGTGACTTGCTGCTACATAAGACTCCACAGACAATAGTAATAGTAGTAATAGTAGGTGCGGAGGAGGATTATCCATCAAACTTGCCCTCGAATTCAGCATGTAATGTGCGTTTCAACGTGGGTTTCAAGCGCTTCTACGTTCCCATTCGGCCGAAGAGGCCTTGAGCCTCCGACCTGCTCTGGGCCGAGGAGGGAGCATCGGGGTGTGGTCGAGCCGCTCAGGAAAATTGGGATCCAGGGCATTGACTCTAGCAAGTACATAATGAGTGGGTGCGGATGAGGAGTAGCTTTCAAACTGGCCCTCGAATTTCGAGCACTTTCACGTTATCATTGGACCGGTGGTGTGGAGAAAGAAATACAGTACGTCAGTGAAATGAACTTACTCCAAGGCTTCTTTCAGCTAGCAAGCGCCTTGTGTTCATTTCTCAAACTTGCAAGCAAAAGAAAGCCCGATTCTGGGGCGACTTTAATTCGGTAACGGACGGAGCCGAACCTGTACACTTTACAATGTCAAAGTTCAGGGAAAGTCTGTGAACTTCCCACTTTACACATCCACTTGCGGCCGTGGCCAATGCCGCCTCAGTTCAGGGCGTGGCATGTGGCCGCAAAGATCGTGCGACAAAACTGCAGCTCAGCAGAAGTAGCCGCTATCACGGTACTGGGTGTTGCATTCCACGAAATGCCCATAGTCGTTGCAGCAGTGGATGATGTGGTGGTACTGGCAGAAGGAGCCGACATGATGCGACTGGCAGAAGCTGCTCACATGCCAGCCCTGATGAATGTGCCAGACGCCAGGCCACCAACCGGCACCCGTCTTTAGCATCTTGGACTTGAGTGACTTGGGCTCCTCGGGCAACTCCTCACTGCAGGCACTGGAGTTGGCAGTGGAGCCACATTTGGCGTAGCCACCCTCCAACTTGCAGCAGCGAATGCGCGTGGAATTATCGCAGAAGAAGCCCGTCTTGTGAAGATTGCAGAACTGGTGCTCTTGCCAGGCAGGCAAAGACAGCAGGCTTCCCAAACTGCCCTGGGTGGCATTGGGCACCAGAGCTCTCCAGTCAACGATTGCTGCCTTGGGCTTCTCAGCATCCGTGTTGTTGGGCTCCTCTTGGTATGGCCCCGGTGTGTCCGGCAGCCCAGTGACGTCCGGCACCTCCACCCCGCTGTCCACTGCTCTTTCAGCTCCTCGCAGATTGCCGACGGGCTCTGCGAGAGACCCGATCAGAGACGAAGTGAGAAGTGCTGCAAGCATCTGGGAGACCTTCGAAGCCATGGCAACAGAAAGGGCACTATGCTGGCTAGCTGCACGGCGAAAATCCTTGAGAAGCACGTGTTGCGGACGCTCTGGCACCAGAGGGGACAGTGGCCTGATCTCAGAACACTCCAGCCTCCACCTTGGACGCCCTGTTCTGCTGAAATGGGGAAGCCGCCGTGATCAGATACCTGAGATCACTGCAAAACGACATGGCCGTGTTTCCGCATCAAATGAAGCTGCATGCAATATACGGCCAACATGCTGTGGAAGTTCTTACAGTCCCTGTTAATGGCTCGTTCAAACATCAACGTGCCCAAATGATTGCTTGTTCAGGTATATGCGCATTCTTTGGGGTGCTAGTCTGACAGTAACAATCCTTGCGGGAAGATCGGGGCAGCCAAGCGTCGTCAATGAGGTATTCCACTCTCCTCTCTGGAGGCCACAACTTTGAACCTATTGCTCGTGGCTTAGGTTTAGAAGCCCTCATCACAGACTGAAGACTTGAGCTTCAACTCTGAAAGTCGAGATGCAGGATGCTGTCGCGCCACCTGACGCAGCGAGGGCACCGGCGGAGCCATACATCCCTCAGATCTAACCCTAAGGGTCCATGAACCCAAATAGTATATACTTTGGCCTTAAAGTAGTCCCTATTATAGGTACTTTGGGGCCAAAGTATATACTATTTAGGTACATGGACCCTCAGATCTAATCTCAATCTCAGCAAGACAGGAGAAGCCTCGCGAGACCTACTTGGAGGTTCATGGGTAGTTATAAGTGGGGTTATAAGTAGGGTAACTATACTTATAACTTATAACCCATATTAGGGGACATATAACCCTACTTATAACTACCCATGAACCTCCAAGTACAGGTAAAGACCGCGCAAACAACTCCGACGCCTCAAGCGCAGCACCCCGAAGTAGGTGACACGGATGGATGCCTGCAACAAGAGAGCTGAAAGAAAGGGGATTAAGGCTGTGCTGAGCTCAAACGTCTTGCATCCACTTCATGAAGGCAGTGTCCGCAGGAAGAATGCTGCCATACCTGCGGAACAGCCATCATACATGACAGAACCTGAGACGTGCCGCAAGGATCAGAAGGGATTCGGTATACTCTGTTCTTTACGAACCTTTATGAACTCCCGGACCTCGTCAAGAAGCTTAAACAAGGCTACCGGCTACCGTGGGATGCGCTGCACTCGAAATACACGGCCCAGAAGCTTAAGCAGATCCCGATTCAAATGCTGAACGTCGAGGACGGTTGAAAACTCCCAACACATGCTCGGCACGGCATGGCATGTCTTGGTGTGTGTCTGGTCCAGCCGAATACCGGGACTCATCCAGGATTTGCACTCGGTCACCAATCGGATGTAGCTTTGGACAGAGGCGAACGTATGATGGCGCAGGCAGAAGCAGCGGCCGTACCAAGACTGTTCTGTCACGCTTGTCAAGCTTTTTCAGATCCGAAACCCTGCGAAAATCCCTGTAGTGCCTGTACGAAAGAAACCCGAAAGCCCGTGAAACCCAATTGAAGCCTCAAAGCCATGGACTTCCTCAGGCCAAAAAGAGCTACGAACGACAGTAAACTCTCAACTGCACCTCGGGCAGCAGGCCGAAAAAGGTGGCCACGACCTGCTTCGAGCTTCAGATTCGCTTGATTCGGCTTAGAACGATGTCTGATTACTGAATGCTTCACGTCGCATTTGCATGTTGAAACCGATGGAGGATGCAATAGAAAGGTTGGAACACTATACCCTCGAAGTCCTTCTAGGACATGCTATACACAAGTGGCATGCTGTAGTATCCGAGAAAGGCTCCGGGTGCAAGAGTGAAGATGATCATTCTTCCTAGACTAGATAGGAACCGGATTGTTTCACCCTGGCTGCAAGTGCTTGTGCTGCAGCTGCTATAGGTTTTGGGGGGTTTACAGTAGGTGTAGGTGCTGCATTGCGAACTGTCTTCAAGATTCTACAAGAAGTCAGCTGCCGCATTGAAGGGAAGTGAGGGAATGAGTCGTTACGGATTACCGATCACTTGAGCATGAAATCGGGAGGGAACGTATCAAGAAGAGCTGATGTGAAGACTGCGCAGGAGGCGCGCCTGAACAGTTGCATCGTGACTCATAGAATGCTTACTATGTCGTTGCAGTCTTCGACAGAAGAACCCAACATGCTTTCGGACTTTTGTTAAGACCATTCGTGCTGATCCACCCCCCCTTGATGAAATCAAAGGCAGACGAAATGAGCATGCGAGGCCTTCCAATTGGCATCCTTGGTCTCGCAAGCAGCAGGACTGTGTGCTGCATACCGTGCGATGTGGCTGCTGCTAGCAGATCTTGCAATTGACTGAGCAATCACTTCCACAACACCTGGTGCTTCAGCAGGCAGAGGCGAAACGTCCCCGCAACCCTAATCAAACGGTAAACCCCGAATCTTAATTGAACCCAAAGCCCAGCATTTCAAGCACTGAAGGGCATCTGGACGAAGCCGGACATGTGTACAAGACATGTCCAAAGTCATGCAAACTCTGGCACTCGAGGAAGTTGTTATAACGAAGCTCTTGAGACATGGACACTTGTAATGCGGCAGCAGGGGCCATGTTCAGAACAGCCCCCATGCCACTCACGCAGCTGAGAGATGCAAATAGGCCTTCCCTTCTCTTGCAGTACATGCCACTGTCGGTGAAACGGCTCAGCCTCGGACGATGGATTGCCCCCAGCAAACGCGTTAGCCCATTGGCTTTGCTGTCATATGCCCGGAGTAATCTCCCTGGCACGTTGGCCCCAAAGGCAACAGACACCTAGGCAGCCAGCCGCTGATGTCCTGTTTCGAATCAACAGCTGACATGGCAGCCCGGTGCCACAATGCACTGCATGCCCCACACACGGCCAACTGTGCGACCATGTACACTTACGGCTGTGCCAAAGACATGGTTGGGTAGGGCGGAAGCTTGGGCCAGTCTACTTGGAGGTTCATGGGTAGTTATAAGTAGGGTTATAAGTCCCCTAATATGGGTTGTAAGTATAGTTACCCTACTTATAACCCCACTTCTAACTACCCATGAAGCTCCAAGCAGGCCGGCGCACTCCAATCATAATCGCAACACAACTGCTTGCACGCGATGAGCTGCTGAAATAAGAGCTGCCTAGTAACCACTTTAGCTAATTAAGCTGTGCACTCGCAACAGGAGGCTCCATCAGTCACGACCGCCACGAACTCAAAATCATGGCTTGCTGTCAAAGCAACACACGTCATCTGCAATAGACATGAGCAAGCAGTATTCCACACCATTCCCATGCGGCGCTTCGCTAGCACGAAGACAAGCATCCCACAGCAAATTCAAAAGCGCCTTCATGCAGATACGAGCAGACCCTGGTGTAACACTCTTTGTTGGATGATTTAACTATGGTTGGAACCAAAAAACATGACATAACATGACAATATTAAGATGATAAGGTAACCCGAAAGAAGGTACCGGGTCTGGTTTGGACGGAGGAAGATTGCCAGAACATGTGGTCTCCAGTCAGAAGAAAGGCCGCGAAGGAAGTCAGCAAACCGCAAAGTCATGGCACAGGCAAGTCATAGCGAGGACAGCCGGGAAATCGCCACGAAGCAGCTGGCTTGAGATTCGCAGTTGAAAGGGGCCTCCCCTACAAGCAGTGCGCACCGCCGTGAGTGAAACGGCTCGGCCTAATACGGCGGATTGCCCCCAGCAGACGCCTTAGCCCATACGCTCTGCTGTCATATGTGCGCAAAATCTCCGCACACGTTGGCCCCAAAGGCAACAGGCAGATCCGGGACCTCGAACGAACTGGCTCGCTAAATGCACACTGCGAAAACGCCGCACTAGATGCCAGCATTTTTGGCCCCTTCCCTGCCATACGCACTGCACGCCCCACACCTGGCCAGCGGTGTGTTCGGAGAGAGGCCTGGTCATCATAACTGACGGAAACGTGAAACCTCCTCCGATTGGGTAAGGCATGTCTTCTGCAGACATATGGGCCTCAAGGGTGGAGTGACAACTGTGACAACAAGATGCCATGATTCAATAACACATCTAACGGTATATAATGATAACATATACCCAAGTAGAGCACTGCCCAATCATGTCTATGCATGCGACATGATATAAAACAACCTTTGGAAAACCCATCTTCCCATGTTTACACACACAAATACACTGAAGCATATGGACGACGACGGCAAATAACTTAACTGATTACAGAGGGCTCAGCGATTACAAATCGGTGTCAGGTTTAGGCGGGCAGTTCCGAGTTCAAGGTTTTCGGGCTCACAGGCTTACGCCACAAGCCCCCCCCTTGCTTAAGTAAATGTATGCGTAAAATCAATGTAGAAGCCTAAATGATCACCTAGATTATTCAATATTGTTCCTCAGTGTTCCTTCCTATAGAAAATATTGAAAATTATCACTGTGTTCCTTCCTATAGAGTATATTAGAAATTATCACTATGTTCCTTCCTATAGAATATGTTAGAAATTATCACTATGTTCCTACTTATAGAATAATGATAAGCTATAACTATTCAGGCGCCTATATTACAGAAAGAGCCATATGGGTAGTTTTCAATATTAGGGTCCCATTTTAGGTTCCCAATATAATACGGCACCCTTATAAAAGGACCCTAAAAAGGGACCCTCATTTAGAGAACTACCCTATGGAATGTTCCTTGCTCTAAACCCTAAACCCTAAAGCCCTAAACCCTAAACCCTAAACCCTAAAACCCTAAAACCCTACAACCCGAAGGCCTTAGTCATAGGCCCCATCGTAGTTCCTTTTTGGGATTACCTTATGGTTTAGGGTTTAGGGATTAGGGTTTCGGGTTTACTACCCATAGGCCCCATAGTAGTTCCTTTTGGGGATTACCCTATCAGGATTCTTAATATGAACCCCAAAAAGGAACTACTTTAGGAGTCTACTGGAGCTGCCGAGCCACCAAAGGGTTTTAATCTATAGGGTTTAGGGTTTAGGGTTTAGGGTTTAGTAGGGTTTAGGGATAATTACCTATACTGTTTTGGTATTTTGGGGGGTTCCTTATTATAAGTTATGAGTATATAGAAGAATGGGCCTATACTATTTTGGGGGTTCCTTACTATAAGTTATGAGTATATAGTATAATGGGCCTATACTATTTTGGGGGTTCCTTATTATAATTGTAGTAGAATGGGCCCCACAACCCTATTTTAATTGTTAAGGCCTCTATATTAGGGTTTAGCGGTTCGGTCCGGTGTCAGGATCCTGCAGCCATGGAAGAAGCATCAGCTGCGGATCCGTGGAAACAAAAAGTCTGCCATGCAGGGCGCAGAGGGACAACGCAATGAATCAGGAGACTCCCAAACAAACCCCTCAACTACCTTGAATAGGTTTAGTGCTTGAATCAGGTATGTTGCTTACTTTCCAAAGACCCCTATTAGACTCAAGGTCCGGATCACAAACTCGTCTACACTAGAACCACCAGAATGTGACAAAATGTCCAAACAAACCAAAAAACCGAGGCCCTCGCTTCCCGCCCGCGGCCTTTCAAAGCTAGTCGATATGGGCCTTTGGAGTTCGCCCGACCTGGTCGGCGACTTTGGCTTGTGCTGCTTTCGGTAACTTTTTGTGCAGGGTTCGCATCAGGTTTAGGGAGGGTCCAGGTTGGTTTTGAGCTTATCCAGCGTGTAGGAACTGTGTAGAGGATCCAAGTAGGGTGCGGCATGATAAAATTCATGAAGAGTTCAGATACGTCAGATAGCTTCAGATAGAGTTCAAGCTGTGGGAACTTTGAGTGGGTTCGGACAGGGTTTAGCTTGGGGGAGGCTTGAAGTAGATGGCGTCAAGATTCTTGGGGTCCCATAGACAGAATAAATCTATGTAGCCTGCAGGACTGCAGGCATCAATGTTCAGTCTACAAATTTGAAAGTACAAGATTCGGAAAAGTTACGCTGAAAAATAGCTCAAAGGCTGTCTGAGGAGCCGGAGCTTCCTGGTGCGAACAAGTTTTTTGCTAGCCTCCCCGTAAATGTAACTGAGCCCTACTGCACTGGTACAAAACCTCAACCTCAACATCGAGCCCGCTGATCCCTCCCGCACAGGGACCATCTGCGAGAGGCCGTAGCGAGGCCAGCGGCGTGGACCTGGCCAATCCCTCGCCGGGCCAGTCGCTGAGGAAGAGCCTCCAATGTGCTGGCAAGATGAAAGTGCCGGAGGTTCAGGATACAATGAGGCCTAGAAATTTATCTAAAAAAATTTTTGGCAGCGCCTTGCACGCATGTTCGATGATCTGGTGGGGTGCGTTGTGGTCGTGATGATGGAAGTAGATCCCTGCGACCTTGCCCAATTGCTGAAAAGCGATCCGCCCGTTTATTGCCCTCCGTACATGAAACTGCACTTATAATGGGGAGAAGAGGCGATGATGGAATTGATGTATCCCACTGGAGGCTTGTGGAGTTGTGGTCTCCATCTTCCGGTGAGACGTAGCCGGCAACGCGCCGTAAGTGGGCACGGTCGCCACACTGCACATCTGCCCGAGACCTGAAGGGATATTCCAGCCAGGAGTGGTCGCTGCGGGCGGTGAGGTTCAGACCATCCTGGGCGAAGATCGCCCCACAGCACTGCATGCAAGGTGGGAGAGTGTTCTTGCGATTGGAAGACGAAACCGAAAGCTCCAGTCACAAACTCTGGCGATGCGAAGCATGTCAAGGAGGATGTGAGTATCTGCTAGCGCTTGTGATAAGAGCATGTTGATTGCTTAAGGACTCGTCGAACATCAAACCGTCCGGCAGATGTACCGCCACTCTGCGGGAGCCACTGAGAAAAACCATGTTGGGCAGGGCCTTGCTCTGGTCCTACGTGTCCTCGCATTGGCGTCTGCAAATATCCTCCATTTTGTGTATCTGAAGAAACCAGTCGCCTTCGAATGCATCCTGCTCCTTGGCCGCCTGTTCCGAAGCGACGTGCTTCTGATTTGCTACGCTGAGGATGGAGGCGCTGCTCTGGGCAGGTGTAGTGGAGGAGGCAGTGCAGAGGAAACTCTCGAGTATAGTCTAGGCATCGGCTCATGAACTTTCGAAGAAATCCGTACCTGATGTTGGGCTTACTGTTTTCGGAAATCCGCTCGAGCTTCTTCAGCCACTCCGCCAAGTCTGTGCCGGCAAAGGACGGCGAAGGATAGCCATGGTCGGGTGGCGAACGTGATCCCGGGTGACGTCCGCAGGAGTTCGGTTGTTCTGGAGCTCTCGCCACGTGGCATCCTTGTCCTTGTGCTCGTGGACCAACCGAGCATGACGATCCACCCACACACCGTAGGTGTCGTTGTTCTGGAGCAGCCAAGTGAAAACGCGGCCAGCCGCGGCGCGAGGGGGCTGTGGCTGCTCCTTTGTTCTGCATCTTGTGGGTTTTCCTTACGGAAAAAAGATCAGACCTCGAAATCCACAGACAGATTCTCCTTGCAATACTCAGATAAGGCCGGGGCTCCATATTCAGGACTTAGGTTCTGGGTGCAGGACTTGTTGCTTGCTACTCTATGCCCCCAGCAGTCCGGGTCGGAGTGCATCTGTCTGGGGATAACCGGGGAGGAAGCTCAGAGATTCGGTAGAGGAGTGTAGATGTAGGTTGGGGGTCACCCTAACCGCCCTAACCCCCCAGGTACCTACTATATAGGGTACTAGAGCCCCTAGGGCCCTATATAGTAGGTACCTGGGCGGTTAGGGTCAGGTGGGGGAAACAGATTTAATATCAGGCCTTTTCGCGGGGAATCTAGTAAGACGTTTTTTTAGACGTGCTAGGCCGCTGATCGAGACCTACGTCCGCAAAGATAAAGATGTGTAATCAAGCGTGCCACGCGAATGATTTGCAACACAACTGCTTCTTTTGTTTTACGATCCAACGCCTAGAAACCATAAGCCTCAAAGTACAAAATCGCGACGAGACAGCCACGCCCTCCCTGAACCCAATGCTCCCAGAGCATCCCCGAGCTGCATACACCCTGTAAGTGCCATGTTTGAGGTTGATACTACTAAAAAATGTGGCTACAAATACAAAATAATGTCTTCTTGAACCCGGTCAGCTCTAAGAAGCTAAACCTACAATTTTGTGTAAGTCCGAAGCAGGCAGGGTAGTTCACACCCGAACACCTCAAACCCGAACACATCTCCCGCTGCTACCTTCAAGCCTTGCCAAAGCCTCAACCCCTCTTAAGGCCCCCGGCCGCATGTAGTTCTTCTCTGTGAGACGCTCAGTGCTGCCCAGGTCCTCGGCTTACAGAGTCGCCCGCAGCGCCCACCACCCCTCCCTGTGCCCCACCCACAAAAGACTCCACCATGAGGGGCCTTGCTTCCAAACTAGGCGCCTGAATACTTGTTTAACAGGATTTCGGGAAACATTATGCTAGACTTGTGGGTCTATGGAGGAAGGATGGGGCTGCTTGTTGTTAAGCCGCATACTATCGTGTGCAGGGTCAGCCAGCCACATAAGGAGCACAGCCCAGATTGTGTGGTTGACAAGACAATGTGGATCTATGTCATAGAGAAACCCAAATGCCTGCAAGAAGCCACCCAACTGCTGCTGCAAAGAGGTATGCTGGCCAGGACGGACCTCATGCTGACTCACGCTGTGGCTTAGGCTTTGCTTGGGGCTGAGTGTTTGGGGGCTCGGGTGTCCGAGTTGATTTGGAGGGCTTCGGGCTGAGTAGGGCTTGTGCACATCGATCTTGCCCTGGTCGTCATGCAGCCTGCCACTTTGCGTGCTGAATTTGCGTGATCTTGCCGCCAACCAACGCGAACATGGTCCAAGACCGTCTGTAGAACAGAACATGAACCAAAAAGCCCGGCCCAAACCCAATGATTTAGAATCGTACGCTGTGCCCTTTCGATCTCTTTCTCAGAAAGCCGGGAACGGAACCTCGCCCCAGTGTGAGAGGGGACTGTAGGCAGCTCTTCTCCGTGTTTCTAGAGCTTCTCATTGGAAGGAACCCATGAACACAAGAAGCCCGAAAGCGCTAAATCCAACTTCAACTCTGATTAGTAACGTAGGGGCCTCAATGATTTAAATAGGATTTTGGGTGATATCCTACTATAACTGTAATAAGGAACCCCATATTAAGCCTCTCAAGCTCCAAGCATAAATTAGCCTCGACCCTGAATGAACCCCAAGAGTGGGTCTCGCTGCGGTCCGCGCTGAGACAGAGGCTGCTCCCCTGCCGGTTGGGAATTTAGAGGCCCAGCAAAAGGGGAGAGAAGGGTTATGGGCATACTGCGGCATACTTCGAGGGCTAGTTTCGGGCAAACTGAGCTGAGGCAATTACGAGCAGGTTCCGGAGACTTCAATGTAGATCTCTTTTGAGGGATGACTCTGCTAGCCGCTTGGGAACTCGTCCTCTTGGGTTCAGGATGGTGCGGGGCGAGAACGGCTGGAAAAGACTACTGATTCCAACCCATGTTCCAGCTTAACAGCTTAGGGGCCGCCGGGGGGCCGCCCAACATCGAAGCAAAGAAGAAGAGGTCTGTATGCCAATGAGAGCACATGCAGAGCTGCGTAAACATGCATATACAGAACACACGCACATGTCGGAATTGAAGCGACGCAAACAATATAACGTAAGGCGGAATTGGAATGGATGGGATAAGTGGGGACCCGTGCATACTGTACAAACTCCGACTGCCAAACATTCAGCCGAATCCATCCATGCATACAAAAACGCATCCATCCATCCCTCCATCCATCCCTCCATCCATCCGTGAATGCATGCATGCCTGCATGCATGCACACACCCGACATACGCGTGTGTGCTCGAACAGAAGTATAAACGAGGCTTGCCTAGTTGCAGAATTCCCTGGCCCAAATCCATTCGGATAGGGCTTTGTGCATGCAAGACAGTCGAAGGTCCTCGATTCATCTACTTCACTGCGGAACCACGAAAAAAGTTAAACTATGAAGCCTAAGACTCTTGAATGCATCGGGCTTTAGGGCTTTAGCGATACGGAGCCAAGCGCATGTGCGGTGGGACGCAGGAGTGCAAAGAGCAATGCTGCACAGTGATTCTATAGCAGGATAATGCTACTAAATTAAGAAAGATCTTTGCATTGCATTTAAATCAGAAAACCACCCGACCAGGCCTCCCTGACCCAACGCCAGGGTCGCCCGTGAGACCTCCAAGTAGAGTTCAGGGATTTAGAGCTTACTTTGACGTTTTTTGTACTTGTGGACGGGACAAGTAACATGGGTTTGAGGACTATTTTATGTACGAAGGACCTACACGACAAAAAATCAAATCATCCTGCGCTCTTCCATTTGTCAAAAGCTTGCCGGCAGCTCAGCTGTTGTAGCAGGGCTGTGTAGAAGTAGATTCAGGCCATGGGTTTCGTAGAAGTAGACTACAGGCATCGGAGTTTCCAGGTCATGGGGCACTTCGGAGCATGTAGGCGGGGGGGCGGGGGGTGTAATTCACGCAAAATGCCGCTTGAGTCGCATGGACGGAGCCTTGCATAGCCAAGGCCTCCTCTCTAAACCACTGCAATACAGCCCCGCCCAAGCCTCAGTGCAAAAGAGCCCACGGACAACCATCCCACAAAAGCGATACTAAACACTGGGCGCCTCCGGTACGAGGCACTGCCTCGGCAAAGGCAGTCGAAGATTCGGCTGCGGGTCTTGGAGTTGAGCTTTCGGATTCCGTGGTAAACATCCGGGGCAGCAACCTCCAAAACCTCAAAAAAACAAAAGGCGTCATTCGCAGCCCTTACTACGCGACTGCGTTTAAGACGGACAGATACCCCAACCCTATAAGGCTAAACCAAACCAATATCCGACTGCTTGCGGTCATGAGCACCGGCCGCGAAAGAGGCGGCGGAAGTCATTCAACCAAGCCCCCTGACATCGTCAATGGCTCAAGGTTCAGGGTTGAGGGTTCAGGGCAAGGTCAGGATTGAGGGTGTTCGGGCTCATGCATGCCATCACTGCACGATCAAGAGCTGTCCAAGACTCGAGATTGCTAGAGGCTGGGAAGACCGAGGAATGCAAGCAACTGTGGTTTCAGTCTTGGCCCTCTGAATGTCAAGCGGGTGTTCGCATGAATTAAGGAAATACAAGCAAAAACACGTATGCGGATATCAAACACGTGATAGACACCAAAGCAGCGACAGAAACCCAGGGGGACACAGAGAGCGGAGAAGCGTACACGAACTCCGCGCCAAAAAAGCGAAGATTTCAACGCCGAAACCACACCCTCAAAGCCTGAATTGATAGCCGTTGGAGTATCGAGCTTTAGCTTGCAAGCCGACCTTGAGAGGGGCGAGAGAAGGGAGCCCTGATAGTTCTTTAGGACTTTAGGTGGCCACCTTGATAGTCAGATAAGCCCTACCCATAGGCCCATAGTAGTTCCTTTCTGGGATTCCCTAATAGGATCCTAAATATAAGCCACAAAAGGGAACTAGTCCTGGGGCCTATGGGTACAGCATGATCTTTTCATCACCATCATGATTATCATCGTCGTGTGCTCGTAGGAAAACCCTGTCTCCTGAGGATGGGTCTCAGGACTCCATCAGACGATCGATCGAAAGCCCAGAAGCCTCTTGGGCATGACTTGGCTTGGGAAACCTCTTTGCTTAATACCGGGGTCTTAACACCTAGAACGGGGTTTTGGGGCCCATCATACTATAACCATAAGAAGTAACCCCCCCCCAAAAAAAAAAAAAA